CTTTACCGACTGGCTCCTCTCCCCACTGGAACAGCAGCTGCCTGAGGGCAGGGACCCTGTGTGACGTGCCCAGCACGGAGACCAGCCCAGAGTCAGGCTGTGCTGAGGCCACTGCCCTCGGGCACACGATCACCGTGGCAATGACGGACAGATGGGTGGCAGATGGGGATAGGTGGTGGGTAAATGCATGGATGTGGGTGCGTGAAGATGAACAAATGGGTGGGCAGATGGGCACGGGCTGTGGCCACCACGGGTGAGGACATGGCTCAGCCCCCGCCTCTGTGGTCCCCACACAGCAGCCGGCCTGAAAGACTCTCCTGTGCTCAGAGGCTGGGAGGAGACTGCGGCTCTCTGACTCCAGGCAGAGGCTGATGGGTTTTTATTGCTTTTGTACAAATTATGGCTGCTCAGAAGAGGCCCAAGGAGCCACGTAATGAGTGTCATAAACCTGCCTCGTAAAGACAGCGCCTGTATCGGGCCTGGTGCAGAGCGAGGGCGGCAGGGCCTGGGCGGCTGGTGGCATCTGCGTGTCCCACCTGGCTGGGTCTCTGCCCCTCCCGCCCACCTCCAGCCTCCCTGTCCCAGGCCTGCCCTCAAGCACGCGGTGGGCTCCCTCCTCAGGGGCCTCAGAGCCTCCCACCGGCCCCGCTGTTCGAACCTGCGCCTGCTTCAGTCGGCCTGGCCCCTCCTCCCGCCCACTTCCAGACCTCCTTGTCCCTGTCCCCGCCAACCTGGCTCCCCTTCCCACCCGGCTGCGCTGTGCTTAACACCCCAACTGGGGCAGCAGCTCCCTGGCTTCCCTTACCAGGGCCTTTCCCGTCTTTCTCCCCACAGGCATGCCTTGGCCATGGCCACGCTCTGCACACACGGGCTAGAGGGGAGGCAAGGGGACCAATTTCTCCACACCTCAGTTTGTGCAGGGCAGGTGTCTGTGACCCTGATGGACGGCCTCGCCAGTGGGGACAGGAAGGGTCTGTGGGGCTGCGGCCAGGAGGGCGCTACTGGGGGCAGAGGAGGACATGTGGGCATAGCCACGCAGGTGGCTCTTCTTGGCAGGCACAAGGGGCCGGGCAGCCGCATGGAGGACAATCCTGGACGGGCGGAGCTGAGTGGTGAGGGAGGTCTGAGGGTCTCAGTTCCCAGTCACTGAGGTAGGTGCCCATGGGTGGCCCCATTGGCCTCTCTGGGCCTGCCACCCTGTCTGGAGAATGCGACGATCTGGTAACTAAATGCCATGTGCAGGGTGAGATGGGTCCCTGAGGCCTGGGCCTCACCATGGGCTGCCACCGATACCCTGCAGCTCATCTGGCCCCTCACCCTGGCCCCTGCACGCCCCCTGCTGGCCACGGGCCCTTCCAGAACATTCTGTGCACGGGTGTGGGAGGGCAAGCCAGGCTCCTGTGCCGGCAGGAATGGCTCCAACCCCAGCAGGCTCTTGTGGATCCTCATTCTGTCTAACGAATCCGACAGCCCCTGCCACGCTGCCGTCAGTCACCACATCCTCAGGTGGAAGCGGCTCGACCTTACAGTGCTGATGGTGGCCGAGGAGGCCAAACCACACACTCGGGGCAGCAGCTGCTGAGGATGAGCAATAGCTGGGGCTTTGCTGATCACCGATGTGGACAAAATTACACCACTTTCAGGACGGTTCCTAAAACCGCACCAGGTGAAGAATGCCCGTGCCGCTCAGCAACACGGGAGGCTGCCGGCCTGGCTGTGGCTCCTCAGTCACAGATAGGCAGCCAGTCATACATAAGCAGGCAGCAAGGGGTGCACACGTGAGCAACACGCAACGCCACATGCACAACACACCGTGCCACGTGAGCAACACAACGCCAAGTAGTTCACAACACACACCACGTGCACAACATGCAATGCCAAATTCACAACACACAATGCCAAGTTCGCAACACGCAACACCACGTGCACAACACACACACCGGTCACACGCGCGGGTGCACGCGCGCACACACACGCAGAGGCCCAGCGAGGAACCCGTGACACTGCTCGACAAGGCAACACACAGCCCCACACAGCCCACCACACGGGGGTGCCGCGGACACGAGGTGCACACGGGCACATACACACATACACACACACACACACACACACACACACACGGCAGCCCCAGCCTAGGGAGCACCCAGGAGTCTGAGGGCCTCAGGGAAGTACCGAACCCCCACTAGTGGGTCCCAGGCTCCAGCACAATCCAGACCGTCACCCAGGCCCCGCCTGCTCCTGGGTCCTGCCTGTCCTGTTCCTGGGCACGTGTCCCACGGGGCCGGCTCTGGGTCCTCTGCCCTGTGGGCTGTGGGGCCGGTTCTGGGTCCTCTGCCCCTGAGGTGGTCTGGCCTCCACCTGCCTCCAGTCCTCGGTGCCGGGGAAGAGCACTTCTGAGGAGGCCGGGCACCTCCCTGCTGTCTGCCTGGAGCCTGGGCTCTCACCTGTACCCCCCCCCACACTGGACACAAGGGGCCCCCAGGGCTGACAGCGTGGGCGACTGAGGGCTACACTGGACCAGGGCCCCGGGTGCACACCTGCACATGGCGGGGCCCATCTGTACGCACCAGGGTCTGAAACACAGGTCTGTGTGCACCGGGGCCCAGGGCACACACACAGGACCGTCTGCAGCCCTCAGGGTTCTCCTGGGCTCCTGCGGCTTGGAGGGGAACCCCATCCCCTGGGCAGCAGGCCGGTTCCTCCCATGCCTTCCCCCTCCCCCCACCCCACCATCTGTCACTTCTGTGCCTCAGCCGTGGGGGTTAAGCTGCAAGCAGCTGGCAAGTTAATGACGGGCTTTCTCAGGAAACACAGGGAGTGCTCTGGAGAGAAGACCTGAATAACGAATGGAGACTAAGAAGCAGAAGGGCACCCAGTGGCTCAGGGCAGAGAGGTCCAGGTGCCCTGGGGGCCTCAGACCAGCTGGGGTGGCCACAGGAGGTGACCATGTGCACACCTCACCAGTAACAGGGGGCAGAGCCCACCTTCCAGAGCTTAAGACCTGGCCCTCCCCCGACCCACAGTAAGCCGGCAGGAGCCCTGCCCGGCACTCGGAGATGTCACCGACACTCACAGTCTAGCACCTACGCAGGGGCCGCAGCCCTCCTCCTGCCCATGGAGTCTGCATCAGGGCACCCCACTTAGCCCAGGTGCCTCCCAGCAGCCAGGCCCAGGTGGCTTTAGCCCATTTCCACACGCTGACCCCGAACATGCACACCAGGAGCCGGCCTGTCAGGATATGGCTGAGCGCCTGCCCAGTACACCGCCCAGAGAAGGGTAGGGGAGCATCATCGCACTCATGACGATGGCTGTCAGGACAACCACAGCCACCTCTGAGGGGCTGCCCCCTGCGCACAGACGACAACAGCAAGAGTGCCCAAGGCTCGCCGAGGCCCCACGCAGCACAGGAGGAAGGAAAGCCCCAGGAAGAGGCCCCTTGGGCAGGTGGACGCTCCAGGAACCATTGCCCAGAAGTGAGCTCCGGCCGCCCCAGGTCAATGGCTCACGGACTCTGGGCCAAACCAGGTGAGAAGCCACAGGCAGAACCCGGGGTGGCAGAGCTGAGCCCAGGGTGGCAGAGCCGAGCCCAGGGTGGCAGAGTCAAGCCCAGGGTGGCAGAGCTGAGCCCAGGGCTTTACACAGACCCTCAGGTGAAAGGGCAGCCTCAGGGGAGCTGGGGTGGGGGTGCGAAGGGCCCAGCTGAGCCCCTGCCGTGACCCAGTCAAGTGGCCAATTCCTGCCCATGATCCTGGGTCCAGGGAGCATGGGGTCCACTCCTGGCCTGTGGCCGTGCCGCCCATGCCGCCCCTCACTGCCTCCTGCTCTGCCACCAGCAGAAGCTGTGGGACAGAGACGGGGGGGTGTCCCCACCAGTCCGCATCCCCTCTGGCCTGGCCACACTGGGTCACTGATGGTTAATTACACACCCTATAAAAAGCTGCTGTGGTTTAGTGAGGGAGCCTCTCCGGCCTGGAAATTGCGGGGGCTGCAGGGACGGGGCGGGCGGAGTCCAGGCCCCCACCCTCCCACGAGCCGAGCAGGCCGTCAATCTGTAGAAATGGCTTTTATGGAGCTCTGGGTTTTACGATGTCATTAATGTTCCTCCTGATACTTAAGGGAAAATGAAACACAGTCATGAGGAGGGCAGGGGACAGCAGTGATGGGGGTCGGGGAGATGGGGCTGGGCCTCCAGGTCTGGGGGGCAAGGGTTGGCGTCTGGCCTCCCAGGCCATTCCCACAGTAAGTCCAGGCACATGTGCAAGGAGACCTCCGCCGTGCCATGTGCACCCATGGGGAGGCACGGCACACCGAAACACACCCACTCCCCCTGGGCAGACACTCACTCTCCCCCGGGCAGACGCCCGCTCTCCCCCGGGCAGACACCCGCTCTCCCCCGGGCACACACCTGCTCCCCGCCAGGCACACACCCATCATGAAGGCTGCACACGGGTCTCCTACCCCCTGCCCGCCACGGGGTGCTGGCTGCCTGGGTGTTGCCCTGCAGTGCCCAACCTGGGCCCAGTCCTCTCTGTCCGGGCTGAAGCAGGTACCGGTTGGGGCATTGGGGGCGGCTGCTCACACCACGGGCACCTCCCACACCAAATGTCCCAGGCCCCCAATAGGACCCCAGGAAGCAGCCCGGCTATGGTCCCGCGGATCCCGGCAGCCTTAGCCGCAGCTGGGGTCTGTGCAGGCTGACCACTCCAAGGCTCCTGGCAGGGCCACAGCCACAGGGCCAGCCCATCCCCCTGGGGCAGCACGTCAGCCTGGGGGCCTCTGGCAAACCGTGAGCAGGACACTCCCCCGAATCTTCACTCCGGAGCTTGTCCACTCCCCACCAGCCCCATGGTGCTTGAGGCCAGAACCAGTCTGGGGCTTCAGAGGGAAAGCGGGCACAAGACGGGTGAGCTAGGTTGTGGGGCCTCGGACAGGTGAGGTGGGGGCCCGGTCCTAAGGCCCCAAGGGGACAAAGATGGTTGGGGGGGTGCTGGGGGACTTACAGAGTAGCCTCTCCCTGAGACCGCCTGCGCAGAGCTCTGCAGGAAGGAAGAGGGGACAGTCAGTGAGGCTGTGGCTCTGACCCAAACTCCTAGGGACGCACCCGGCCACCTGCCCCGCAGCCCAGCGGCCCTGCAGCCCATAACCCGGCTGAGCACCTCTCCCGGGTGGGGACAGGTCCAGATGCCCAGGCCCAAGACCGCCAGCGAGATGTCCTCACAGGCAGGGGGCACGAGGGCTGAGGCCACGGGGAGGAGGACAGAGCTCGGCGTCAAGGGGGTGTCGTGGTGGGGTCCTCCCCAGGGGCTGTTGTCCTCCTGGCCCAGCCAGTCTGAGGCTCCCCTGCAGCAGCTCTGGGATCCAAACCCAAGGAGGCTCCCACAGAGACGCCCTTGGCTAGTTCCCTGTCCCCAAGAGGGAAGGCCCCACCAGAAACGCTCCTCAGAGGAGGCAGGAAGACCTGGGGGAGGCCGGCCCAGGGCCCCAGCTTCTGCTGCCCTCCCTCCGTGCCCACCCACCAGAGGGGTCCACAGTTGCAGGACTTCGGGGAGGGTGCCCTGGCTAGTCATGGAAGGCTTCCTGGAGAAGGTGCCAGATGGAGCCCTCAAAGGAGGGTTTACCACAGGGGCCTGACAGGTGCAGGGGTCGGGGCTGGGGGATGGCAGCTGGGAGCCCCTCAGACATCAGGGCACACTCTGGTATGCAGGGGCTGCTGGGGTCCCCCATACTCTTGGTGGGGATCCCTCTGCCCTCAGACATCAGGGGCACACTCTGGTATGCAGGGGCTGCTGGGGTCCCCCATACTCCTTGGTGGGGGATCCCTCTGACTCCTCCAGGGGCCAAGCAATCCCTCGTGACCCTGGGTGGGATCCTCTCGGTCTGCAGGCTGCCAGGCCCCCATACCTGGGTGGGGATCCCTCCGGGTCTGTAGGGGCCGGGCTGCAGGGGCTGCTGGGGTCCCCCATACTCTTGGTGGGGATCCCTCTGGTCTGCAGGGGCTGCTGGGGGCCCCCCACACCCTTGGTGGGGATCCCTCTGGTCTGCAGGGGCTGCTGGGGGCCCCCTATACCCTTGGATCCCTCTGGCTTGAGTGGGTGTTGTGAGGTCTTCAGGACAGAGGTGTGGATCACACCAGCTACACACTCGGACCACCAGGGCCTCCCCCAGCCGGAGTAGAGGGGAAGCAGGCTCAGGGTTGCTGTAGTGGATGGGGTGGGTCACTGAGCCGGGCAGGGTGGGGCTCACGGAGAGGGTCCAGAGCAGCCTGGGGAGCAGGGGGCAGATGCAAAGATCCAACACCCCGAGGGGCAGGGCAGAGGAGGAAAAGGGGGGCTATGGGGCCAGCTTAGAGCAGCCCCCCCACTCTCCCAAACCAATCCAAGATCCCCACTGCAGAGTTGGGAAGGACACCTCCTCCCCTTCCCCAGACAGACCCTTGCCAGGGCCAGGTCAGCTCCTGAAGGGCCCCAGGGTGTCAGGGGACAGAGCCCAAGGCCCTGGGTCCCGATGGGCCCACCCGCCAGCTCCCGGCTGTCAGAGGGGTGGGGGGCCTTTGTTGCCCCGGGTTTGAGCCTCAGTACCAGCTGCTGCGTTGTGCCCAGAATGTGACTTCATTCACCAGGGGCTGGCAATCAGAGGAAGAACCAGGGAAGCGTCGACCCCAGGTAATTCCCAGTCTATTTTCCTAACTTGTGGCAACCAGATGGGGAGATGGGCAGTGAGGCCTTCATTTAAGTGACAATGAGATGCCTCAGGTTCCATTCATTGGAACTCCTCCCACCGCCCACCCCCCACACCTGCAGGAGCTGGGGAAAAGGTGTCAACAGCCTCCAGTCTCTTCCAGGCCCCAGCCCGATGCTCCCACAGCCACGCTCTCAGGGTCCAGCCCTGTCACTGGCCAAATCCAGCATGAGAGCCTAAGTGTGGGGGGTCCCAGCCCTCCGGGGACCTGGGGCCCAGGGGCCTCTCTCAGGGACACCAAAGGCGTGTCCTGACCCAGGTCAGTGTGTGCCTCTGCCTGGCACGGGCACGTCGGGAGCCTGGGACGCTCAGCCCAGACCTGATCAGGGTGAAAGAAGCACCTTCCGCTGACGTTTAACAAACCCCGGCCCCGGCTGCCTCCACACTCCACCTGTATCCCGCCCCAGCCCACAAGGCAGGTGGGTGTCCCCAGCAGTGGGGCAGGACCCACGGCAGCCCAGGCGTCCCCAGAGGTGGCCCAGGGGTGCCCATCTCGAGGCTCGGCCGCCATCCGCCTGCCCTCTACCCCCAGGGCCAGCGGTGCAGGCGCAGCGTCCAAGGCAGGCTGAACGTTTTGGGCTCTGGGCTCTGGGCTCCTGCTAGCTCGCTCATCGTTTCCTCATTTAAATCTCTCCTAATGGGGAAAGTCCTAATGAGTAAAAAATCATGCTTTAATGAAGGCAAAATGCTAACTGCTAAGACAAAGCCTTCATGGGAAACTGGGCCCTAACCAGCGGCTTCCTGGATGCCCTTGTGCAGGATGCAGCGGGCAGGCGGCCCAGACTCAGGGAGCCTCCAGGCGCAGGCAGCTGTGGGTACTCACATCGCTGAGCGGGTCCCGGGAGCTGGTGGCTTCGAGGACGCTGTCGTCGTCACTGTCCCGGTCGCCCCCTTTGGACACGGTGACCTTCATCTGGGACAGAGAGAGACACTGTCTCAGGCAAACCTCCACCTCACCATGTCCACATCGGGGCCCGCTAGCTAGGGCTACGTGCCTGCTCCCGGCACCCTGGCCCCGGCGGCCCCAACAGCCACTGGGCGCTCTGGAATGTGACGTGCTGTGGTGGGCCGGGTCCTGGTCTGGGGGCGGGAGCAGCAGCAGGACAGAGCTCTGCAGAGCCAGGAATGCCATCCCGGCTGACGGCTCACACACTGACAACACACTCTACCCGGATGGGGAGGACCCACCCAGGACCCGCCGGCTCAGTGACATGAGAACCGCCATGGGCTCGGAGCCGCCCCTTCCACAAGCCACTGACTTTGAAGACATCCTGGGGGTGCTGCGCACCACGGGTGGGGCCTTCTCCCACACCCTGGGCTCTTCTCGGCCTCAACGGCCAAGCTGCCCGCTGGCTGGTTAGCACCACCCCATCTGGCTGTACAGGGCTACGACCTCCAGGCCAAGCCTCAGTACCACCCACTGTCTCTTGGCTGTGCCCACTCCACCTCCTTCGGTTGGCACCATCCCGGGGTAAGCAGCAAGGTGGTGGTGAGACCTGACTGTCCCTGGCCGTGTGCCCTTGGGCCACTGCTCAGCCTCCCCATGCCTCGGTTTCATCACCTGCAGAAGGGAGCGGCCACACTCACTGCCCACCGCCACCACCTCTGACACCAGCCAGCATGGGCGCTGCTGTATGCCAGGGCCTGGCCCAGGCGCTTTGCACGCACTCACACGTTTGCTCACACAGTGGCCCTGAGTAGAAACTATTTTCCTTTACGTTTCGCGGATGAGCAAACAGACGTGCAGACAGGTTAAGTGGCCACACAGGGACCAAACCCAGAGCCCTGCATGTATTTAATTTTCCTGCTTGGAAATAATTTCAAACCCGCACAACGCTGAGGGAAGTGAGAGGCCAGAGCTCCTGCTGGCCGGCAACCAGCAGGGACGCCCCTCGCAGCCAGCTCCCAGCCTCCCGTGGAGGCCCAGCAGTCTCTCTCTCTGGCCACCTCGGATCTAGAACAATTCTGCACCTTGTGGCGACATGCCCCAGCACGTCCGGGCCCCCAGGCCTCGCATCCCAGGGCCCCCAGTGAGGCCCTTTACATTGAGTCATCCTAGGCAGGAGCGTGCCCCAGCCCGGGGAAACCTGCCCCAGGACCGGCTGGTGCGGGGCCCCTGGTGTGGCTCGCTACAGCCATGAGCCTGGCTCCCCGCCGACCCCGGGCGCAGCCAGAGCCCGCTCCGTGCACCTCCTGCAGCAACAGGCCTCCGGGGTCCCACACCCCTTCCCCGTGTGGCTGATGGCGCACACAAGGCAGACAGTGCCAGCACCAATTAAGGGATGTCACCCGGGCCCATGAGGTCCATCAGGCCGCACAGTAGCAGGAGCCCGCACTGGAGGAGGCCCCGGCTGGGTGGGGACGCAGCCCCCGAGCAGTCTGAGCCTACTGGGCAGGCGCTGGGGGCAGGGTGGTGGGCTAGTGACCTGCTTAGCTACGCAGTAGCCCTCACAGACCCTGTCCAGGCTGCCCGGCTCTTCCCGGCACTGTGGCCTTGGGCAAGGGACTGGCCTCCCCCAGCCTCAGTTTCAGCATCTGTAACTGTAACATTCCGGAATCCTGGCAGGGCCCCTCGGTACAATGAGGTTTAGGTGGTGGCATGGCCAGTGCAGCGGATCCAGGCCACCAGGTGTCACTGTTGTCACCAGCTGGACTCTCACGACCCCTCCTTTCTCACCCCTGGAGCTGGCATCATGGTCTCAGTTAGGCAGCCCTGCCCGCCGCGTCCCACACGTGCTGCCCTGCTGGGGCCGTCAAGAGTTCCGTTCACCTCCACAGGGAGCCAAGGGTCCCACTCCTAGTGGTTCTCAAAGTGGGGTCCTGGAAATGCAGCATCACCGTCCCCAGAGCCTGTCAGGAAGGCGTCTCCAGGCCCCCTCCATGGAACCATGTGTCACCAGCCCGCTGGGGAGTCTGGCCATTGGCAACGGCCCCATGAGGCCTGAACTCACTGCTAGGGAGAGCGGTTCGAGGCAGGACCTGGCGGCGACAGGAAAGGCTGCCACAGGGCTGCTGAGTACAGTGGTGCAGGCTGCTCACTGCCCAAGGACACCCAGCCGGTGGGAGGGGAGGCGGGGCTAAGATACACCCACACAGTGGAGCCGTGAGGAGTAGGACACCTCTCCACACTTCACACCTACACAAAAGCCACCTCCGGTCAGGGCTGGGCACAGACGGAACGCTTCCCCCCCACGCCCGCAGAGGGGCTCAGCGGGCTGCCCTGCGTGTGCTCCTCCCACACCTGGAGGCCCTGAGAGGTGGCCAGGCAGGTCGTGGGGTGGGGTCTCTTCCCCTTCCTCGGGTGGCCGGTTTTAGCTCTGAAAGTCCCAAGTCTCGAAAAACCCTGTAGAACTGGGAACCTGTGTCCTGGACACAGGGCACGGCTGGTCACCCCACTCTGTCCCCAGGCAGGACCCCAAACAGCCAAGGGGGCTGCCCTCAGTCCAGCCGCTTCTCAGTGCTGCCCACCAGCCACGCCAGGGGCCAGGGAGGCCACACGTCCACTCCCAGCAGGAGCTGGAGAGACAAGATCACAGTCCCTGGAGACATGTCTATGTCTGGGGCCAGAGGGTGCCCCCTTTGCCCTGGAGGGTGGGCAGGAGCTACTGCACCTGTGCCCACCCCAGCCTTGAAGTCTGCCCACCTCTCTGTCCACTCATCCAACCAACGCCTGTGGAGCCCCGACGAGTCAGGTACCGCTCTGGCAGTTAGCAGAGCAGACCCAAGCCCCTGCCCTCCCACAGTGACAAAGGAGCAACCGTTCCTAGTGCACACAGAAGGTGGCTCCATCTGCCAGGTGGCAGGTGCTGGGGGACAGGCAGCGCAGGCCGGGTAGGGCCCCGGACGCAGTTCACTGATAGCGCCAACAGTCCAGCAGGCCCGGCACACACACTGCAGCCCCAAGTTGCCCTCCTCACGGTGCGCCCTGCTGCCCCACTGAGTCTGTGCTTCCTGGGGTAGGGGGAGGAAGGCTGAGTCTGTCCAGTTATGTCAGCAGGTGGGGCGTGCGGCAGGAGCAGGGTGCAAGGAACAGCTCCCTGCAGGCCAGCGTGGAGTGCCTGTCAGTTTCTGCAACTTTAGTACCCAAACCACAGTTGATGGAAGCCACTAACAGTTTAACAGCCGGCTTCAAATTTCCTGAACCCTCAGTAACCTGCTCCTGCAAGCTGCACTCCACTGGGCAGCCACAGACCAGCTGCTGGTGGGGCCAGGACCGTGTCCCAAGAGCACTGGGGCCCTGAGGGTTCTGGCAGTAACCGCAGGAACATGGTGGCTCCAGGCATAGAGAGCTCCTCCCCCAGGGTCCCCTCCCCTCACCAACCCCCTCCCTCCACACCGTCCCCCAGCTCCAGGCTGCACGTCCAAAAATCACTGCCTCTGGGTTGGCCACAGAAACGTGGTCCCACTGGGAGGCTCAGGCTCAGTCAGGGGCTCAGGTGCAGCCTGTCCTGTCCAGGACTAGTGCCCTTGAGCTGTCCTGTTGCTGGGAAGGGGCCAGAGAGACAGGAGCCAGCAGAGGTCCCATCATGAAGCAGCCAGGAAACCCTCTGGGGCGCACAGAGACCCACACAGACCCACAGGTACTGGCAGGCACACACACCGCCCCAGGCTGAGGGGATGCACCGGCCACATACACGCACCCACGCCCCTCTCCCCCACAGCAGTCACACTGGCCCTGTACACACCGTGTCCCATGCACATGGCTCACTGATTCATCGCCCCACCTACTCCCCAGACCCGCCCCAAGGCTCTGAGCACACACTGTCCTGCGCAGGCCCTGCCCAAAGTGGAGCACCCAAGAGGCCCCACACCAGCCCCCGTGTCCCTGTGTACATACTGAGCAGAAGGTGCCCTCCCTGGGAACGTGCAATGGTCAGGGCAAATGTGCGCACCACATACGGCACGGCAGGAATGGCAGCCTTGGAGTGGTGCAGTGCACAATTCCGACAGCTACACTCTGCAGCCCTGGTGAGCCTCACACCAATCGGATCACACCCGGGGACTCTCACACCCCACCCCACGGCATCACATTCAGACAAGGGCTATCCTACAGGTGCATGATCTCAGACTGGCCGGCGACAATGCCTCCAGCCTCTGCACCCGCAGGCCTGGGAGGGAGGGTGGGAGTCAGGGGCTGCCTGGGCTGCTGTTTTTTTTTTTTTTTTTTTTGAGACGGAGTCTTGCTCTGTGCCCCAGGCTGGAGTGCAGTGGCGCGATATCGGCTCACTGTAAGCTCCGCCTCCCGGGTTCACGCCATTCTCCTGCCTCAGCCTCCCGAGTAGCTGGGACTACAGGCGCCCGCCACCACGCCCGGCTAGTTTTTTGTATTTTTTTTAGTAGAGACGGGGTTTCACTGTGTTAGCCAGGATGGTCTCGATCTCCTGACCTTGTGATCCGCCCGCCTCGGCCTCCCAAAGTGCTGGGATTACAGGCTTGAGCCACCGCGCCCGGCCGGGCTGCTGTTCTAATGTGGACCCTGGAGAACCCTGAGAAGGGTCCTGTGGCTTCCTCAGACCTGCCAGGCCAAGGGCAGGCCCCCTGGGAGATGGGGCAGAGGTCAGGCCCCCACACCCCCTAGCTGGGCTGGGCCACAGTTCCAGCAGAAGACGGGAATGTGACACCCCTGAAAAAATGGAGCACAGATATGCAGAGGTGGAACTGCCACCACCCCGTGTCCTGGCGGAAATGTGTGTGGACCCAGCACACCCCTGCCCCAGCCCCGCAGCCTGTGCTCCCTCCTCCTCGCAGTCCCTGCTTCCCCCTAAGGAGCTGAGCCCCTTAGAACAAGGCTCCTGGCCTGGTGCAAACAGTGCTCCCTCAGGGAGCTTTCAGGACTCCTGGGCCTCCCCCAGGGACTGGACGTCATGGGTCTGGACTTCAGACTTTCCAAGTTCCCCACCCGCCAAGGTTGAG